TGTAACAATGCCTGCCTTCCTCTCCCTAGCTATTAGCCTCCTTGCAATTTCTTCAGCCCAGGAACATGACTTGCTTTACAGCCAGGTGGAAACATTTTACAGTTTTAACCAAATGTCTGTGAAGTGTTTTCCCATGCCTAATGGCATTTGATCCTCACAGAAGTCTTGGAGTAGGTAGATAGGAGAATCCTATTTTCTTTTCACTAGCCAGAAAACAGAGATTTAGAAAGTTTAAAAACTTAACCCGACTGAAAAGAAGAAATGGTGGAACTTGAAGATCACTTCAGGTTTCTCATGGCGCAGAATATAATCAAACACTGTTGTAGTTAAATATTTTACCCTTAGTTCTCCCTGTGTGATCTACAATAATAATCTGCTTCATGTTCATATTTACTGCTGACAATTACCTGAAAGAGAAGTTGGGATGCCTCACTAGGCTGGAAAAAGTTTAGCTAAATCAGAAAGCAAATGTAATTAAACAAGTTTATTCTATATTTATAAAAGGCTGAGTTGACTCGTGCATGCACGATATATAGAAAGCTCATGCTGGCACCAATCACTGTGTGTTTCGATCTGTCATTGTTGATTGTGAATTTGGATGACACTTCTGTTATAGAGAAAAGGCAAATAGCAACATTAAAATATTTCTTCTAATTAATTTCCTTTCATTGTGCACAAATTCGCGCATCGGCCACTAGTTATAAATAACGTTACAAGGGACATAGGGGTGCATATATTCTTTCCATAAACTTCTATAGAAGATGCACAGACCATAAGGATACAGTTCATTGAATTAACATAAAGTGAACACACTTGTATATCCACCAGTATTATTAAGAAATAATATTACCCACTTCCCAGAAACCTTTCGTGGGCCACCCCACTCTCTATCTCTAAGGAAATCACTCCTGAACATTTAGGTTAATGCTATTTTGCTATTGTTGCTATGAACAATCTTGAACATGTCTATTGGTATATATGTGTGTGTATGTGTGTTTCATGTATATATATATCTACAAAGAGGATTGTTGGGCCATGAAGTATGTATTTATCTGTTCCTTTATGGTTAGTGCTGTGTCCTGTTTAGAAACACCTAGTCTGAGGTCAGGAGGGTAGTCTTTCATCTTTATGTATATGGACTCATAATGTATATGTTATTCTGCAACTTTTTTTCTTTTCTTCTTCTTTAAGGCCAGAGTTTAATGTAGAAGAAAAGTTCTAAGAGGACTTTCAATCATTAACTTTTTAGTTTAAGGTTCTTATTGTCATGAATACAGGAATTCTATGAAATACGACAGATTTTTGCATTTAGACTTTATATATTTTAAAACAAAAACGAAGCAAATCATCTCTTATTGTCTCTCATAGGCTGCCTTGCTGGCTCTGCAAGAAGATGGACTAGATGCAACCACAGTGAAACAGGAGCACTTTCTAAAATCACTTAAGACTGTAAAACCATCCTTAACTCACAAGGATTTGACTTTATATAAAAACTTATTTCAGAAACAAGGATTTTCTAACTTAGAGGATATTTAAAAATTACATACCTGCTCAAGGATTAATTGAAATGTGAACTTGCACTATAGTTTGCATCTTCACTTTTAGGGTTTGTATATATGGTATTTCCTGTAAATAAAAAAACCAAACTATCTTTTGCTAGATAAGCTAAGATTCATCTTAGTTCTAAAAGGTATATTAAAATACCATAATTTGGAAAGAAAGTATATGTATTGTGTTGATTTTGTAGTGGGGTGGTTGTTTTTGTTTGTGTTTAGGTTGATTGCTTTTTTAACTTTATTTTGAAATAATTTCATACAGAAAAGTTGTAAGAATAGCACAAACAACTCATATTCTTAATCCATATTCACCATTTTTTAACATTTTGCTATATGCTGAACAGACATATCTCATTTTTATTGCACCTCACTTCATTATGCTCCCAAGATGATGCATTATTTACAAGTTGAAGGCAAGACCCTCCACCAGGAAAAAGATTTACAATTCGTTTTATTAAGATATTGCAGTGGTCTGGAACCGAATCTGAAGTGTATCTGAGGTATGCCTGTATTTAAGAATACATATTATACCTAATACCCCTTCACCCCCTTAATAACTCAGTGCATATTTCTTATAAATAAAGTCTTTTCTTATATGACCACAGTGCATTTATCAAATTCAGGAAATTGAACATTGATACTATATATTAATCTATTGACCCATGACTTTCCTCCATTGTGCCAAGTAGCCATTTTTTCCCATTAAAGGATCCAGTCTAGGACCTATACTCCACTTAGTCATCCTCTCTCTTTACTCTTTTTTTCATACACACACACACACACACACACACACACACATACACACACACACACACACACTCACACACACACACATACACACACACACACACACACTCACACACACATACACACACACATACTCACACACACACTCACACACACACACACTCACACACACACACACACACACACATATTATTGATTTCAGAGATGAAGGGAAAGGGACAGAGAGACATCAATGATGAGAGAGAATCAGTGATGGGCTACATCCTCCACACCCCTACTGCGGATGGAGCCTGCAGCCCAGGTGCCATGACCAGGAATCAAACCAGCAACCTCCTGGTTCATAAGTAGATGCTCAACCATTGAGCCATGTCCGCTGGGCTGTTTCTTTACTCTTTACTCTTTAGCCTCTCTTAATCTGAAACAGTTCCTCAGTCTTTCTTGACCTTGGAGGAGTTTTTCGAAGAGTACAAATTATTTTATAGAACAGTGCTTCCTGATCTGTATTTGTCTGATATGGCACCATGATAGATTTAGGCTCCGCCTTACCAGTGAGCAGTATGTAAGTGCTGTGTCCTCAGAGATCACGTTAATTTTGACTGCTTTTTTATGGAATTGTTCATTTTCTCCACTGTATAGCTATTGTGTTTTCTTTTAAAAATATTTTTAAGGAGGTAAATAACATATACATCTTTATTTTCCATTATTATGAAAGCAGTTAGAATGCTAGAAAATACAGATGCACACACTTGGTATTTAACCTTCTAGTTCCTTATGCGTGCATAGATAAGACATGGTTTACTATGTAACTTGTTTTTCTCATCTAACAGTATCAGGTAAGCATCTCACTGAGCCTTTCTTCACAAGTATATGCAAATGAGACAGACATGGCACTGATAGGGCAGCTGGGAGCATGGGTCTCAGGCAAGTCATGCAGGAAATTACAAACAACCAAAAGGAGATAAGGGTCTGATCAGAGCGAAGTGCATGAAATATATGAAGTCATAAATGTTAAGTTGGAAAATTTTCTACTTTTGACTGAAGCCAGGACACACTGACTAAGATAAACGTCACTATTTGGGGAATAATTATTTATAGGTATATAATTCATCTAAGTTATTCTAACAACATGACCCCTCACTTTAGAGTAGTAGGGGGGGAAATAGCTAGGAAACTTGGAATTCTGACAGCTTTCAATCATATTCTCCATCAGTATTGGTTTTATAGGACAAGGCAGCCTTGAGCCTTCGCATCCCTGGCTGAGCACCCTGGCTGGAATCCCTCCTCAGGCTCTGGCTGGAGGCTCCTTGTTTTTTTCTTCCTAGGAAAGGTTTCTAGTTGTCACTCTGGAAGTCTAGTTCCCATACTTTGGTTCGAAGCTGAATCTTGATGTGAAAACGTTTCATCAGAACTTTGGAAGCCCCTGAGGACAAAAGCCATGTGTTTTCTCATTAAAATACTTAAGCCGAAACCTGTAGACTGAAAGGTCTCAGGTTCAATTCCAGTCAAGGGCATGTACCTTGGTTGCGGGCACATCCCCAGTAAGAGGTGTGCAGGAGGCAGCTGGTTGATGTTTCTAACTCTATCCCTCTCCCTTCCTCCTGTAAAAAGGTCAATAAAATATATATTTTAAAAAATCTATTACCTATTAAAAAATAAAATAAATGATAATGTCAGATCAAGGATTTCTTTGACTCTGTTTTCCCCCCAAGTTTAATGGGGTAATATTGGTTAGTAACATAAATTTCAAGTGTACACCTTTATAAAACATCTGTATTGTGTGCTCACCACAGAAGTCCAGTCTCCTGCCACCATATATTTACCCTCTTCATCCTCCCCACCTCACTTTCCCATTGGTTACCACCACCCATCTGTTGGCTTTGACTCTTTTAATCTGATGTGAGAGTGGCTCTGGACAGCTTCCAAAAGTTGTTCTTAATTGGTGAGAAAATTAAAATACTTGTTTCTAAGCACCTGGGAAGTATCATTAGCTTTCGCTGTGCATTGAGCAAAAACTCCTTTCTGAGCCACATTAATAGCCTCAGGAAAAGGTACACCCCCAGACCTGCCAAAATTGAGCAAATCCAATATTTGCTAAACCTGGTAATTAGGTATGCACTGATGGGTAGGCAGAATTAATTTTAACAAGAAGTATTTAATAAAGAATATTTTTCTTACAAAGCCTGAGCTGGGCTGACTACAACCTAATTCCTGGCATGTGGGAACCAAGCAGTCACAGTTCCACGTCCCTGAAAGCCTGAGTTGCAGCAGCCGGAGTAGGTACTAGAAGTTTCTGGTGGGGAGGGGAAGCTCCCCTGAGGGGATGACGGGCTTTGGGCAGCCACAGAGGATGAAGTGTCCTGAGTGGGTTCCTTTGGGGTTTGAAAGGTGGGAGCTGTACCTGCTAGTGTCATCCAGGGGAAGACCAAATCCCGTACTGACCTTGCCTCTCCCACAAGTTCATGCATCTGGGCATTCACTGAAGGGGGAAATGTGGCTTTCTGGGTGTAATTCTAATTTAGCTGCCTCTGGCTCTGCAGCTCCTCTTCCGGACCCCTTTTTAGAGCGCCGGTTTTCTCCCAGGCCCTGGCCAGCAGCGGTCCCCTGGTTCTCCGTTCCACCCGCTGGGCGCCCGGAGCGCCAACACCCAGCCAAGGCGGGCGCGGACGGCGGGTAACGATCGCGACGAACGGCAGGGGGCGCCCGCGCCCGCATTCGGCCGCGCAGGGTCTGCGCGCGCGGCGTCCTGCAGGGGGCGCCCTCGCGCCGGGCGCCGAGTGGGGAAAGCGAGTCAGGTCCCGCACGTCCCCGACCCGCCCCGTGACCAGGACGCCGCGCGCGGCCCTTCCGGGCGGCCGTGGTCAGCTTATAAGGAGCGCGGCCGCCGGGAGGTCATTGGCCGTCAGCATCCTCCGCGCGCCCCGCCGCCCCGCCCGCAGGTGAGCCCCCGGCGGAGGCGCTGCCCCGGCGAGTCCGTTGGGTCCGTTGGCGCCCGCAGTTTGGTCCCAGGGGCTGAAATTTGATCAACATCTTGGATTTTTTATTTTCTTTCTTTACTTACTCTAGATTTGGCATTCTACACCGCGGTCATCATGAGCTTTTTCCGAATCCTGATGAAAAAGAAGGAAGTGAGTATTTAAAGCAACTGAAAAATCTTGACTGAAATGTTTGATTTCTAAAGACGAAGCGTCGGGATTTACCCTGAACTTAATTCATTCAATGTTCTCTGTTAGCTCATTCCTTTGGCGCTGATCATGACGGTGGCAGCGAGCGGGGCGTCATCCTTTGCTTTGTATTCCCTGAACCAAAAGACCGATGTGATGTAAGTAGACATCATTCATAGAAACGTTTTTAGAAATGTTAGGATGGCCTTCCGTTTATGAAATGTATGATATCAGTCCCCCCGCAAAACAGTCCTGCGGAGAAGGTGGTCAGGGCTGGAAAGCATCCTGGTATCAGAAGACTTTAAATTATGGTATTTATAAAACTAGTTTGTTCCTTAATTCTAAGTGTCCTTTTATCCACTGGCATGCCCACTTCTCCTGCAGCAAAGTTTGATTTTTTTAAAACTTAAGTTTTGACATTTAAATGGTCTTTTGGGATATCAAAGTTAGGTCATTTTAAATGAAATTTTAAAAATGTCCAGTTTACTAAAAACAATAAAATAAAATTTCAGCGTACTAGAAAGATCTCTCCTAACGCAGTAAAGTTTGTAGACTTAGTTGTTTGCAATGGCCCTAATCTCAGCTGAGGACATAATAAGGTAAAACACCATGCGACCTGGAATATGAGGAAGAGAGAAACTTGAAGCTGAGCTCGTAGGGCGAGAAAGGGCGGCTCTGGAAGAGGGACTGGGAGCCCGCAGTTCTCCGCCTGCAGAGGTCAAACCCAGCCCTTCGGTTGGTCCTGGGGGCAAGGACATGTGTGCGTCCTCTTAGCCCGACGTCCACCCCTAGTGCTATTCTGCTTGGGAGAGCTTTCTCCAATCGAGCCCAGTAAATGCCATCCAGACCACCTGACCTGCAGACAATCCCTCATGTCTGAGCCAAACTGCGAAGCCCCTCTAAGGGATCTCCCATCAAGTGCAGTGAACATATGAAAGCCTTAGCATGCAACCTGGATCCGTCCCTAGCATGTGTATAGACCCGATATCAGAGTTGTTTAAATTCACCTACGTTAACATTTAATGAGCTGTCTTTTGTGTGTAGCATTGATCGAAAGAGAAATCCAGAACCTTGGGAAGCTGTGGATCCCACTGTGCCTAGAAAGGTATTGCTGAATTAAAAGTGATTTACGTTTAGTCAAGCCTTAGCATCATTGTCAGCAAAATAGATTTATACCTTTCTTTTAGGGTGCCATTTGGTGTGTGTAGTGTTAAAGAGAGTGTTACAGAGTTGTAGAGATCTAGTTCAGACCCTTGCTCATGATTCACAGGCAATTTTATTTTTAAATATATATATATTTCAGAAAGCAGAAGGGAGAGGGAGATAGGAACATCAATGATTACCCTTCACACCCCCTACTATGGGGGGAGCCCACAATCCAGGCATAGTCCCTGACTGGGAATCAAACCATAACCTCCTGGTTTATGGGTCGCCGCTCAACCACTGAGTCACACCAGCTGAGCTCCACAGGTGATTTAGACAACTTGGCCTCTCTGAGGCTCTCAATCTACAATATAAAATGGGTACAATAACAGGGTTAAGAGAGTTAAAGAAGATAAAATATAGGGAGTCCTTTAGCACCATGCCTGGCCTCAAATATTAATATCTCATTTTTCCCATTATTTATCTACAGTTAATATAAGGTCTATTATAGCTCATTACAGGAGTCCTGAAAATAGAAGTTGCATTTTAAGCAAAAGGAGCTAATATTCACCTTTTTGAGACTATTGCAAATGCTTTTTACATTTTAAATATTTTGGAAATGAGAAACATTTAGTCTGTTAGATTGAAACTATTTCAGTCTGTTGGGAAAGCTATTTTATTTTTAAACAAAACTTTCAAATAACTCAGTTTGACCTGGTGAGGACAGTTAGGATCTTTTAAAACTACCGACATCGCCTCAGTCCTGAGGTAATAGAAAAAGTGAGGGTAAATGAGAATCTCTGAATGTGAGTCCTTTAACTTAGTAATTACAGTGAGGAAACTGCCACACCCTGTGCTGGGAGCATTACATCCACACACAGGGAGCAGATTACTCCGCACACTCATAAAACCATGGGGGATTTAAAAATCTAGATCCCAAATGGAAGGGGCCGGAGGGATAAGACCTTTCTCTCTGATCCTGTAACACTCAGGAACCCAAGGGCTTTTGGTGGTTTAGTGTGATAGAAACCAGCCCATGTTACTGTTTTGTCTATGCTTTAGAGATGGGAAAAGGAGGTGATTGTTTGGCTACAAATGCTAAGATGATGCTTTTTCTAAAGAGGAGTGTGGACAAATCCCAAAGGAGGGTGTAGGATGAAGGACAGAACCTAACAAAATGCTTTATTTTGCTTTTTTTATTTAAGCTTATAACAATCAACCAACAATGGAAACCCATTGAAGAGTTGCAGAAGGTCCGAAGGGCAACCCGATGACCAGTCCTGCCTCCCTCTGCCATAGAGTGCTCCGTGAATCTAGCAGAAACACTTACGCACAAGTGAGATTATGAATCCAGCGTGCAGACATGCTTCTGCTACGTTTCTAGGGCTTGCCTACATTTTTGGGCTCTGAATAAGGAATTATAAAGTTGGTGCAGCAATAACCACAGTCTAAAAAAATAAATTTCTTGTTGTAAATTTGAATTTTGAAATATTTATGTTTATGATGCTTGAATGTTTTAACATGTATAAAGATTCATAAATTTTATTATCTATAATAAAATACCATTTGTATAAGATTTCTTAAAGGTTAAATACCTATTTAAATAGAGAGAAAAAGTCTTATGGGAGAAAGAAACATTTTAAAGCATAAATTCATATTTAATTAATATGCAGCACACATTTCTGTGTAAACTTTTATTCATCCATTAGAAATTTATTACACACCTGCTGTTAGCTGGGCACCTTTTAGATACAGGTGAGATAAGGCAATGAACAAAACCAAATACTGAACGGAGATGAATAGAAGATGGTGACTAGAGTGAGGGACAGTGAGGAAGAGATGGGGTGTGAGACACACACAAAGACTCTCCTGGGATTCTGCGGGGGAGTGGTAATGGGGGGTGTGCTGGGACTGGCCCTGGGGTGACCCTGTAAGTGTGGGAGGAGGGTGCACAGCACCCTGCAGAGCCTGGGGCCCCTTTACTCCGGCCAGTAGTGACTTAGAGACCAAAGGAGCCATCAAACCCAGCGTGCCCTTGTTCCCCTTTGAGTGTTCCATAAAATTGCTTTATGTTAACTTTTTAGAAATACAATTAAGATATAATTCACATACCATAGTATTCATCCATCTAAAGTCACAATTCAGTGTTCTTTAATATATTCACAAAGTTTTACCCCCACCTCCACCATTTAATTCCAGAATATTTTTATCACCCCCAGAAGAACCCTCTGCTCATTAGCAACAATTCCCTATTCCTGACCCCTCCGTCCCTAGCCCAGGCAAACACTAATACACTCTCTATTCCCATCTTTTTATGTGAATGGAATTACACATTAGGTGGCCTTTGTGTCTGGTTTCTTTAACTGAGCATAATACTTTCATCTGTGTTGTGTCGTGTATCAGTATTTAATTCCTTTCTAAGACTGTTTATCAGTTGATAGATAAACAACTGTTTATCAGTTTATGGACATTGGTTTTTTGCTTTTTGGTTGTTATAAATAATGCTGCTGTGAATAGCCATGTACAAGATTTTGTGTAGCCATGTTTTCTGTTTTTGTTTGTTTGTTTTTTATTTTTTTATTTGTTTTTGTAGCCATATATTTTCAATTCTCTTGGGTACATTAGACTATAATAAAATAGATTCATTAATTATTTTTTAACATTTTTGTTGATTTCAGAGAGGAAGGAAGAGGGAGAGAGAGATGGAAACATCAATGATGAGAGAGAACCATTGATTGGCTGCCTTCTGTATGCCTGCTCCTGGGGATCGATTCCATAATCCAGCATGTATCCTGACTGGGAATTAAACCATGTTCTCAATGCTCAGCCACTGAGCTACATCTGCTGAGCAATCATTAACTATATTAAATAAAGATGATAAATTATTTTTTTCTTAACTTCCCTTTGAATATAATAGAAATTTAAGAGAAGGGCTAAATTTTTATCAACTTCACAGCAAAATTAACTAGCTCTTGTTAGAGACTTGGCAATTCTGAAAGGACTAAAGCAAAACTACTTCCATCAACCCTTCTTGCTTTCTTATCACTGAAAACTTTCCCAGATGAAAATCTCCAATGATTGATCTCAAGGAATTACAATTACCAATTAGGAAGCACACTTTTATTTGCTTAAGCTTCTCAAGTGTGATATGATACCATTTAGGCAAATAAAAACCAACAGTTGTGATGGTTGGTCAACTAGAAGAGCAAATTTGTGAGGGATGACTGTGCCTTTCAGATTTCAAAAGATTTACTTTAATTTTGGTTGTGTTCTTAGCATTTTCCCTGAATGTCTTATTTGGAAAAATTTTCAAATATGCAGAATTGAACAATTGATACAAAGAATACTCTCTCTCTCTTTCTCTCTCTCTCTTTTTATCAGTTAACATTTTCCCACATTTTATGTATCTCTGTATATTATGCTCTTTTATTTGCTTATTTTTAATTGATTTCAGAGAGGGAAAAGGAGAGAAAGAGAAACATCAATGATGAGAGAGAATCATTGATAGGCTGCCTCTTGCATGCCCCCTACTGGGGATTGAGCTTGCAATCCAGGCATGTACCCTTGACTCGAATTGCACCTGGGACCCTTCAGTCCGCAGGCCAACACTCCATCCACTGAGCCAAACCCACTAGGGCTATATTATGTTCTTTAAAAATGAATTATTTGAAAGTAAGTTACAGACATCATAAACTGCAGGGGTCCTCAAACTTTTTAAAGTGGGGGCCAGATCACAGTCCCTCAGAGAGCTGGAGGGCCGGACTATATGAACTATTGTACTAATTCCTACTGTAACACCTCGGCTGCGCTCACTGCCCAAAAAACCTGGTGGGCCTGATCAGACTCCTCTGCGGGCCGCATGTTGCCCACGGGCCGTAGTTTGAAGACGCCTGTAAGCTTTTTATGTCTAAAAGAAAGGACATCTTGGCTGACTAATGCCATTATCATTTCTAAGAAACTGAACACTATTTCAATAATATCACCTAACCTATAACCCATTTCCGTTTTCTCGAATTGCAATGTCTTTTGTGACTGTACTCTTCAGTCTGTAATCCAACTCGGGGTTCAGTTGCCTCATTTGGTTGTTAGGTGGTTGTACTGAATACGCACGCAATAAACACATGGTCACAAAAATGACTTCAAAGAATCTTGTGTTGAACTGCTCTCTTCCGAGTTTCATCTGGATAAGATTCTCTTGGATTGTGGACTTTGAACTTTACAAATTTTCATGTAATTTAAATAAGTACAATTATTGAGCATTCACTATGGGGCAGGCCTTGTGCTGGCCTCGAGGATCTGGCATAGGAAAGGGAGACACCTACAAGCAAAGCTATGCAGTGACCGTGAAGCAAAGATAGAAGTGAGCACAGGGCGGAAAGGGAAGCTTCTCGAGAAAGATGGACCCTCAGGACCAGCAAGTCTAGTTTCTTGGAAAGGCAATAATTAGAAGTCAGCAAGGCAATGGTGAGCAAGACACTGGCAGAAGGAGAAGATGAAAAAAGGATGCATTTGAGAGCAACTGATGAGAAGACTTCCAGGCTTCCTGGATCTGTCTGGGGGAAGTCCAACATGACTCCGAGATTTCTCACCTGATTCGTTGGGCAGGTGGTGGTGCCAAGACAAAGAATACAGGAGGAAGAAGGAACGGAATGCTTAGGGAAGGGTGGACCAGGAAGAAAATGAACGAGACTCTGGAATAGTTATGTCAGAGAGCTCAGCGAGCTATCTAGGCAAATTACTTCTGGAGAACTGCAGAGGTGTGAGCTGCAGGTGGTTTGAGTGGTGGTGAAGCCAAGGGCATACAAGAGATCGCCGACGGAGGGAGAGAGCATCTGAAGTGAAGTCTGAACAGAGAGGAGCGTCGTCAGAGGAAGAGGATCTGGGCCCTGATGGGAGTCGAGAGAGACGGTTAGGGAAGGAGCCCAGAGAGGAAGGGCTCTTCCCTGTCAGTGGACTGTTCGTTCGCAATTAAACCCATTCAGCTCGATGGCTTTGAGCCTTGGGCAGACATCTCTAAGTCTCTCTCACGTAAGATGAGAAGTAAGCTTTCTGAATAAAAAAAAGTTAAAATCATATTACATATCACTAAAAACTGGAGTGAGGTCTACTTACTTATTCATCACACTTTAGTTGAGAATGAAATTACAGGCTCTGAAATCAGACCTCTGTCACCCATGCTCTTTCTACCTAGGTTGCTTTGGACAAGGCTCAGATTCCTCACCTGTAAAATTGATTTAGTCTGGCCCCAGCTGGTTTGGTTCAGTGGATAGAGCGTTGGCCTGCGAACTGAAGGGTTCCAGGTTCAATTCCAGTCAAGGGCATATGCCCAGTTGTGTGCTCAATCCCCAGTAGGGGGCGTGCAGGAGGCAGCCAATCAGATTCTCTCTTATCATTGATGTTTCTATCTCTCCCTCTCCCTCTTCCTTACTCTCTGAAATAAATAAAAATATATTTTAAAAAATTAAAATTGGGTTAGTTTGTACCTGCATGGGTGAGTTGTGAAGACTACCCTATATAATAAAAGCCCAGCGACTGAACGGCCGAACGACCAGAACAACCAGGCAACCAGTCACTATGAAGCACACTGACCACCAGGGGCAAATGCTCAACGCAGGAGTCAGTGCACTCCCACAGAGGGAGCACTGCTCGGCTGACCGGGATGAGCAGCTGCTCCTGTGCAAACCCCGAGCCCATGGGCAGGAACCTGGGCCGCGACCATTGTCTCCTTGCCCCAGGCTCCTTCTCACTCCCTGCCATCTCCTCCAGATGCCCGCAGGCCACACAACACCGCCGCCAGGCTCACAGAGCTGACCCTGGAGGCTGGGAGGCAGGTTCATGGCCACCGTGAGACTGAGGCCCACTCCGCTGCCTCTCAGTGCAATTATCCCTGGGACCGGCCTCGACCGGGTCCCCTGGAGAGGCGAGTGCTCCGGCTCCACAGAAGATGCTGGACCAGGGAGCAGCTGCTCAGAGGGCGGGACAGCAGCCACTGGGCTGACCTGGCTGAGCGGTGCTCCCACAGCGGGCTGATCCCTGCAGGCCACGCCCCCCACCAGTGCACGGATCCCATGCCCAGGCCTCTGGTGTAAGATAATGGGAATAAAATACCTCACGTGGTACTTAACAGGTACTAGATCAATATGAGTTCCCTTCTCTCTTTTTAGGAAATTATTATCATTATAAAGTAAAAGCTCTTAGAGTGTTTAAAATTATGTTCTTCCATGAGTGGGAACAGTGCCTGCTTGAAATTCACACCTACCTATTTGCGGTGACTGGCTCACCTTTGGTTCACAACACCCCTGGTAAACCTTTGCAAGAGCACAAACACACCCACAGATAAGTGCATCTTGCATTCACTCTCGCTAAAGGCAAGAACTCCTACACATATGCCCACATAGATGATCTCACTCCAGAAAAGATATAATAATTACACATATGATAAGTAATATAAAAATAATCTGTAGTTTAGAAATCTATTCAC